GAGAGGTTGGACTGGAATCAAGGCAGCCTGGACCCCAGACCCTTCCTGACTCCTCTGCCAGCCTGCGGGCTCACGTTCTGATTCTATTTATTTTCTTTTGTGTCCTTTCCACTGGGTCACTCTAGGGTCATCCAACCTGATTCAGCAACTTCTAGAAGACAGGGCCATACAGAACCCTTATCTAGCATCTGGGAAGAGGTACTTGGTTGAGATTTTCTGAAGGCAAAGATGATGATGGTGATCAGATCAAGTTGTTGGCCCAGCACTTGAGGCTTGTTCAGAAAATCACCACAAAGCGCGTAGCCCCGGCCTTGATAAGACCAGAGCACACTTTTCATTCTCAACCTTTGCCACAGTGATGCTCCTCAGATTTCCATTATGAAGTTTCTAACCGCGAAATTGGGTTGAAAAAAGCCAGAGGTCTTTGCCCCTGTTCATTTTGTCTCAGGGCTCTGTGAAGAGGAGGCTGTGCTGGTTTTTAGGAATCCCAGGGGCTGGGAACGTGTGAGGACTAGAGGACACGCCCTCTGCTCAAGCAGTGCTTTTATCCTTTTGTGCCTCTTCCCTTCTGCTGAAAACAACAGCTAAACTAAAATGAAACTCCCCATAATAAAAAGTGTATGAGCTAGGCACTGTGGTGCCTGGAGTCTCAGCTACTCAGGAGGCTGAGGTAGGAGGATCCCTTGAGGCCAGGAGTTTGAGGCCACGGTGTGCTATGATTATGCCCATCAATAGCCACTTCACTCCAGGTTGGGCGAAATGGCGAGGCCCCATCTTTAAAATAGAAGTGTATGATGATTTTGGGTGCTACTGAAGATATTCACTTATGATACATGGGCATGACATTACATGACACTGTATGATGTGATTTCCCTTCAACATTCCTCCTATTCGATCATATGGAAAAAAGGTGTGCAACCAGAATGGGTAAATAGAGGAAAGATGGAGATGCCAGTTATTGGCAGAGATAGGGCGCAAGTGGAAGCCTCATGTGCTGCTCATAGGAGTATAAATTCATATGTTTACTTGGCAAAACTTTTTGGCTGTATCTATTTAATATTAAAGCTGAACATATGCATACCCTATGATCCAGAAATTTCTTGCCCATTCAACAACAGAATGGACCAATAAATTGTGGTGCATTCATACTGCACAATGCTGCCCAATAATGAGGAGGAATGATCTACAATGACATGCAAAGATATGGATGAATCTTCCGTGCAAAATCTTGGACAAAAGAAGGCAGGGATGTTGTCCATAAAATTGTTCCAGAATAAAAAGAAGGCAGAGACAAAAAGACTGCATATTGTATGTGCATATTGTATGTTTTCAAATTTATGTAAAATGCAAAAACAGGCATAACTCATCCATGCCAGTAGAAGTCAGGATAATGTTTACCCTCATGGGGGTGCGGGTGGTAACCGGAAGTGGCAGGAAGGGGGCTTCTGTGTGCTGTTAATGTTCTCTTTCTTGACCTGGGTGCTGGTTATATGGTATGGCCAATTTGTGAATATTTATCAACTTTATGGTATGTGTACTTTTTTGCATGTATATTATGTTTCAATAAAATATTTTTAGAAACATTCCTATCCTTCTGATGCCTTAGTGGAGAAAATCTCAGCTTGGGTCTGGCTTGCCTTTAACGCTTCTCTTAGACTGGCTCATCTTTTTTAACCAGGGGAGAGTGTGCCAACTTCAGAGGCTTCAGCAAGCAACTGTATCCAGCTCGAATCAAATAACATTGTTTTGTTTTCATTGTGTTTATTTTTATGGTTACCATCTATATATGGCCATCGATACTGGGTTTCCATTTATGGTAGTGACATAAAGTTTATTTGAAAAATGGCCTTAAGTAAAACGAAACAAAACAAAAGGGCAAATTGACTTACTTTAAAAAAATTATGTAAATAACAGTACAGGTGGTACCTAGTTACGGTAAACCATATGAGGGTGGGGTTTATGAAACATTGTTCAAATGAGAAACAGCAGGGATTAGGGGAAAGGGTAGGAAAACCAGTCTTAGCCTGTCCCCATCTCTCAACCAGTCCTCACTGCCGGGCACAGACAAGCTCTCAAGCCTAAGGACAGATCCTTTACAGAGGACTCATGAGAAAGTCAAAGTAAGGAGTGCTCCAGGAACAGTGGACGGGCAAAGCAAGAGACCAGGAGTGGAGAACCTGGGTTCACTCAGCAAATATCTATTGAGTGTCTGTGTGCCAGGCACTGTTCTAGGCCCTGGGCCTACAGTAATGGTCAAGTCCCAGGCCACCCAGTGACCAGGCCTGGGACCCTGACCAAGACTTTCCACTTCTTTAGACTTAAATGGATGGAGGGTGCTCCGTGACTCAAGCCTCCATGGCAGCTGGCCTTTGAGGAGTGCGACTTTGAGACTCTTGGGGTTACGAAAGACCTTAAAAAGATGTGGTTGTTACTGGTGCACGCACGCGCATGCATGTGTGTGTGTGTGTGTGTGTGTGTATTTAGGGTGGAGGAGGGTAAAATTGGCTGTTAACCTGGGAACTAGGAGAAAAGAATTGGGGTGTGGTCTTCAGACTCATCAGAAAGAGAAATCTAATTGAGTACTTGGCATTCGTCAAGTCAGCATCTCTTTGCCTGCTCATCTCCACAGTTCTTGGCTAAAAGATCAAGAACTTTAAAAGGAGGTGGAAAGAGAATGAATCTCAAAAGAGAAGTGAGTAGCTAAATGAATGAATGCCACTCTTAGCCTCTCCATAGACTCTTTGCCACCTGTCATCCGCAGTTGCTGGGCATTGCAGCGAAGCCAGAAAGAAAATGAGGGGCCCTTCCAAGAGTGTTTTTAGAGGTAGTACCTTTTATTCACTCAACAAATGTTTATGGTGCCTACTAGGTGCCAGGCACTATATTCTAGACCCGTATGCTGTCTAATTGTAACTACTAGTCACATGGGGCGATTGGGCATTTGATTTTGGCTAGCTCAAATTGAAATGTGCTATATGAGATACACATTGGTGCTTAAGGATTTAGTATGAAAAAAGGGAATGTTAAATGGTTCATTAATAATTTTTAATATTGATTACACATTACAATGATAATATTTTGGATCCATTGAGTTAAAGTATGGTCACTTAACAATGGATGCCACCTATTTCTTTTTACTATATTTTAATGTGCTTATTGGAAAATTTAAAACTGCATGTGTGGCTCACATTTGCGGTTTGCGTTGGATTTCTACTGGACAGCGCCCTTCTAAACCTTGTCCTTACTGTGTGGGACCACCATGAACGAGTGACAAAGCAGGCACAAAACACGGGGACATACAAAAGTGTAATGACCAGGAGCCTCCTCCGGGCTGTGTCTTTTTACTTCTGTCAGATCTGCACTCTACACAGCTATAGTGATTTCCAGAAGTCTAACTTTGTCTATTTCACTTCTCTGCTCAAACATGGATGCTGTATCCCTCCTGCCTGCCAAATTGAGCCAAACCTCAATGTGAGTCAACTGGATTTCCTACCACCCCCACTACTCCTTCCAAGCGATCAGCTCTCTGACAGAAGTGGACTGACTTTCTGATCTCCTACCTCACTTTCCCATTCCCGTGTTTTTGCCGTGGCTGGTCCCTCTGCTTGGAGTGCCCTTGTAGTCCCTGCATTTTCCCTGGTAGAATTCCAAGCTTCCCCTACAATTCTGATTCACCCAGGAAACTCCTCTGTTCCCCCCACCCATTACCTCTCCAGCCCAATACTTCTCAAAGCCTCTGACAACCACCTACTTGTGTTTATCTTACCAAACTCTTCCCTGTAACTCTTAGTTTCTTAAGACAAGGAACTTGCTTTCCTGGAGGCATCTAGCTCACCTTCAGAGCCAGGTGGCCACTTGGTTAAGTAGCCGTTGAATAGAACCAAACAGGCTGTGAGCCTTGAAGTTAGAAAGAGTCGAGTGGAGGCGTCTGGCGGGGAGGGGGAGACGAGGGTGGTACTGAGATATTGGGAAATTAAACCTGGGCTGGAGGTAGCTTAATGGTTCATCCCTCACCAAAAAAATCTCTCTGACAAGGGTCTTTGTTAGGGTCACAACCCAAGATGGGTGATGATTAAGGCTGAGTCCAGCCTGGAAAGATGGGGGTCGGGGCAGCTTGGCAAGAGACTCAGTAAATCAAACGGAACAATGAAGGGAGGCTATAATTGTCCATGTGTATTATTGGAGAAAGCCATAAATGACCGTCCCCAGAGCGATCACACCTGGAGGGCTGATCTGACCTCTCCAAGACCCCTGCAGCAGTGTGTTCAGGGATGTCTCCTGCAGCAAAAGCCTCGGGATTTGTAGGCGGGGCCCAAGTTACTAAGGGATTATTTTGGCCAGGCGGGGAAGGGAGGGGTTTGGGGGAGAGGAAGGGAACAGTGCCCGGAAATTGCACTTCAGGGTTCTCATATATTGTAGTCACGAGCTCCCAGATTTGGGAAACTGCAATGGTCACTAAAAGGGGCTGTTTGGGGATAGCCTGGTCTAGACCGGTCTGAATCTCCGTAAGACCCACCCGACACCAAGTCATTGTCCGAAGCAAAATGTCAGCAGTGGGTGATACCCCAAGGATGGAGGGATTGGGGTGATCGGACTGAATCGACTTGAAGGTCAAGACTGTGCCTTATGTCCTTTGTGCTTCCCGGGCAGTTAGCCCGGTGCGGCCACATGGGAAGCGCGCAACTAAGACCTTCCGAACTGAACTGAAAGACGGGAGACAAAAAAAGCACCCGCTCTTCTCCACTCCCAATTCGATCCGACCCCAACCTGCAAGTTATTCTTATTCTCCGGGAGTCAGGGAGCCAGGGCTAGAGGAGCGTGGAGGGACGTGGCTGGGGTGGACTCGGGGACCCGCAGAGCCGGGAACCAACTGCGGGGCGGGCGAGTGGGCGTGCGCGCATGCACGTGCCGGCGTGCGGGAGTGCCGGGGGAAGGGGGTGGTCTCCAAAAGGGGGAGGGGAGAAGGCAGGGGGCGGGGAGAAGCGGGCCCTTTAGGACCCGGCTGCCGCGCCGGGGGAGGAGAAAGAAGCGGAGGAGGCGGCTCTCGCGCTCGCAGGGCCGTGCCACCTGCCCGCTCGCTCGCCGCCGTCGCGCTCCCTATCGCCAACATGCTGCCGAGACTGAGCGGCTTCGCGCTGCCGCTGCTGCTGTCGCCGCTGCTGCTGCTCCTGGGCGCGGGCGGCGGTGGCTGCGGGGCGCGCGCGGAGGTGCTATTCCGCTGCCCGCCCTGCACGCCCGAGCGCCTGGCCGCCTGCGGGCCCCCGCCTGCCGCGCCGCCCGCCGCGGTGGCCGGGGCGGCCGCCGGCCCTCGTGCGCCCTGCGCCGAGCTCGTCCGGGAGCCGGGCTGCGGCTGCTGCTCGGTGTGCGCCCGGCTGGAGGGCGAGGCGTGCGGCGTCTACACCCCGCGCTGCGCCCAGGGGCTGCGCTGCTATCCCCACCCGGGCTCCGAGCTGCCCCTGCAGGCGCTGGTCATGGGCGAGGGCACTTGCGAAAAGCGCCGGGACGCCGAGTACGGCGCCAGCCCCGAGCAGGTTGCAGGTAACGCGGGCTGGGACAGCTAGTTGGGAGAAACTTGGCGGGCAGCTGGGGAGCCTGGCTGGCGGCCACTGGGCAGGGAAGGAGTGTGCGGCGGGACCCCAGCGACTGTTTTAGGGGAGGAAGCGCGGAGTCCTTGACCGGAGGTGGGGGCACTGCCGAGAGCAGGGACCCGAAAGTCAGGCCCGGGGAGGAGAACTGGAGTCAGACAAACGGAAGAGCCCTGGCTCCTAATTTGGTGGGGATGAATGGGGAGAGGAAAGGCACCCCTGTCGCCGTAGTCTTTCCCGGGTGGAACGTACCCCGACTTCTGATCCGGAGGAGAGATTTACTGGGGAGGAGGGTGTTGGCTATGTCTGCGGGAGTGGGAACTTGAAGCCTTGCGGGGCACTGCTTGAGTCGGCGATTGCCGGCCAAGGGTCCTGGTGGGATCGCTGCTGGGAGGCGGAGGCTGCCGGGTGCCGGTGACACCAGGGACCTCGGATGAGGAGAGGGCGACAGTGGACGCGCCGGCGCACTGAGGGACCCTTCCTTCTGCTGGGGTTGTGAGGTGGGAGGAAAGGACTTGTTGGTACTTTGTAGGGTGGGTTTCCTGGGAAAAACGGTGCTATTTTGCATAGAGGGTTCTCGCTGCCAGGTTGAACAGAAAAATCAAAGGGGGCATTTGGGAGGCGAGGTGGAGACCCCAGCAGTTGACTTAGTGTAATTTAAGCCGGCTCCGATCCCGGGACGGCGACAACCAGGCTGTGCAGTTTAGCATCTGGGCTCCAGGTCAGAAGGCAGGAGGATGCCTGGGCGGTGGAAGCAGCTGCTCTTACTGGAGCGCTGTGTTGCATCCCCATCCCCCATCCTGAATTGAGGGACCCTGCCTGCCCGATAGAATGGGGACCCTGGGGTTCTTTGTTAAGGGGCCCTCATCCCTCCCCAGAAATTGTTTGAAGGGCACAACCAGGCTCTAGGGAGCTCATTTTTTTTTTTTTTCAAATTATGAAAGCCTCCTGCCCCAGTGGTCTGGAGGAAGCTGTAATTATTTTCTTTCCTCTTGGAGACAGTGGTGAAATGTGTCCACTGCCTGCTGCTGTTGTTTAAAAAGCAAGTGAGTCTGATCAAGTTTCTCAAACTTAAAAAAAAAAGAAAGAAAAGTGAAAACATTCTTGCCTGCTTCTCAGCTTCTGCGGTCTTTGTAAGCCCCCCCTCCCCATACAGTCCTCCCCCCTTCCTCTGGGCTGCTATTGTTTTTTTCCTGTTCTCCTTGAGAATGGAATTAGGGGTCAGAGTTGAAATCTTTCTTCTATTTCTCTGGCACATTTTGCCCTGGAACACAGAGCAAGTTGGGGCTTCCTTTAAGTGGAACCCCCTCAGTCCCCTTCTTCTCCCTTGCTCGCTTCCTTTTGGAAATTAACCCTTCCCTCCTGGTTCTCTTAGAAAGTAATAAGAAAAGGAAAAAGACCCCGAAATAGTCCCTTCACTGCGGGGCAGGGCGCCCACCCCCAAGTCCTGCTTTCCTCTTCGTCACCCTCCCACCCGTGGTCCACCAGGGTGGTACCGATTGGTTTCTGAGCTGAACTCTGGCAAACTAAACATCTTTCTTAGCAGAGTGAACTTTTCAAAGGGCCTCTAAGTTCATAGAATCATTTGGATGGTTTGGATGTTGACTGTTTTAATAAAGCGTGTGGTGCATTTCCTTCCTAATGTTTTAGTATTTTTTTTTCACTCTTCATTCGTTTAACTCTAAGCCAAAAAACCAATTCTCCTGCTTCGCAAATCCCTGAAGCAGGTTAGGGTTTTTAGCCCGGAACAGATGCGGGAACAGATGCGGGGGATTTCCCCCCCTTCACTTTTCCCTAGAGCCTGGGGTAGGGAGGGGTTGTCAGGGGAGCCCGGGGACAATGCGGTGAGTTCATGGGAAGAATGTCACTCTGGATTTTCTGCCTGGTTATGGGACTTCCCTTCCGCCAGCTCGCCCCAGCTGCCTCCTCAGCCTTCTCCTCCCAGTGCCCAGACGCCTTCCGCATTTTTCTCTTGTGCTCCAGCCTGGGAAGAGGGGACATTCAGCAGAAGTTGGGGGTGGGGGCATGGAAGCTCAATAGGTGCACTTGAAAGAAGTGACCAACATCAGGGGCGCCTGAGACAAGAGTAGGGCTGGGGAGAGACGAGCTCTTTGGGGAGAAGCCTGGGCTTGCAGGGGTGCAGGGAAGAGAGGGGTCAAGGTTGGAGGCTTCTGTGGGGTGAGGGTCTTGGGCTGGGGCAGGCCTCGCATTGCTGTGTGGAGAGTGCTGCTGGGGTCCCAGTTGAGGGGTGGGGACTGGCCCAGATGAGACCTTAGCACTGAATCCTGCTTTCTCCTACTCTCCTTCTCCCATCTCCTCTCCCCTCTGAAGAATGAGCATCCCCCCACCCCCAGCCTGCATTCCTCTTTGAGCAGGTTGCTTTTGAGAATTTTAAACATACCCTCTTATTTCGAGGCAGCAAACCCCAGCAGTTCCGGCTTTGCTGTTAGCTCTTTTGTCTTTGTTCCCAGGACTCAGGGGCTGTGCTGCTGGCTTCCTGGGGATGGCAGGGATGCAGGGGGTGGGGGTGGGGGTGGGGGTGGGCACATGGGCAGGCAGGCAGGCGGTGGAAGAAGTGGGTGATGGTGAGCCTGCATCCATGGGGGTGATGGCCTGGGACTTGTTGGTTCAAAGAAACTACGAAGTCAGACTAGGGGACAGGGGTGGGCAGGCCTGGAAGAAAAATGGAAGGAGGACCCCATGATCTGCCTGAAGTCGGGACTTTAAAATCCTGTAGGTGTGTTTGGTGGTGGCGCGGGCAGAAGTGCCTAGAAATGTCAGGGCAAGAGAAGGGAGCAGGCTTGGGCCAGGCCGGGCCCTTTCAGAATCGAGGCTGGGCTGGACTGGTTCCCTCGGTGTCTCCCCAGCCTCCTTCCCTGCCGCGCACAATGCAGGGGATTATGCCGAGGGGCGGGGCACCCGAGTGGCCGTCTGGCCCGCTGCACATATAAAGGTGCTATAGAAATGTGCAGTCATTCAAAGTCCCAGGGCAGACAGGCGGGCGGACGGGGAGGCTCTGCATCTGCAGTTGCTGGGGGAGAAGGAAGGGGAGAAGAGGCCAGCGCTGATTTACAGTGGTTCAGTGCAGCTTCAAAAAAGAGGGGGAAAAAGCAACGGGACTTCTGGCTCCGAGCACCGCTTTGCATCTCGTCTTGCATAAATTTGCATACCGAGTTCAAAGTCGTAAAATAGACTGGGGAAATGAGTGGGACCCACTGTCACTGATTGTTAACACCACTACCTTCCGCCGCCCCTCCCCCATCTGGACGGCGCTCCCAGACTAGCCCTGCTAAGCTGCTCTGCCTGAGTCACCAGGCACCTCTGTGCTGGAAGCAGGGGATGGCGGGTGGAGGGCTGCTCCTGGGGGCGGTCTGAGAGACCCAGCTGGGCGTGACTCTGTGCGCCCTGGCCTTGGAGGCAGGGCCCGTCTGAGGGGCGTGGCCCGACAGTTTCTGGACGGGGAGGCTCGCAGTGTTCTGTCTGCCACTGCTGCCTGGGGCTGCCGTTGGGGCTGCCATTTGCCCATGATGGGCTGGTACCGGAGGAAGTTGCAGAATTGGGTCTTTTTTGCTGGAAGTTTCCCTACCCACCTTCTGCATATGCCCAGAACGTTTACTGTGATAGGTCCCTTTGTGTGGTAATAATGACCCAATTCCTTAAACAAGATATTGAGGAAGCTTTGGAAAAAAAATCCTATATAACAATGTTGAAGTATCTTACAAATCAGGGCTAAGGAATCCCTGGGTTAGAATAGGTGGTAGAGTCTAGAGGGGAAGAAGTGCCCATTCATTGTTGTCATGAGGGTCGGTCTGCACCACAGCTCTTGGCCAATTGGACTATTGAGTTTTCTGGTAGGCACAGGGAAGAGGGAGGCTTAGATGGTTCTCGCTGCTATCCTACCTTAGTGTTGGGCTTTAAGGTAAGATTTTCAGGCAAATCATTACTTTGGGTTAGGAGAGCACATGGAAATTAGTCGTATCAAAATGCCCTGGGTTACCTGAGAGCAGGAGCATGTCCTGTCCCACATTATCAGACATTTGAGGGTTTTGAGAGAATCACTGTTCTCTGGCCCAGGGATCAGGTTAGCTTCCAGTTGGTTCTCCGCTTGGCAGTTCTCTGCCATAGAAAATAGGACATACAGTGGCTAAGTTTTGATAGGAGGAAGTTCTGAAAATTCTTGGCCGTCATGGAATGGAGAACAGGGTAAGTATGTACAGGACCTGGAAGGGCAGGACAGGGGCTGCAGAAGGGAACAAGGGAGGAGCAGAACGTACGTGGGCCGCATGGGCCACAAGTCTACTACGCTCACAATTGGTTTTGCTATTGGTCCTCCTCACGTGTTGCAGCACTATACCACAAAAAAAGAAAAACCCTGAAGTTTTTTTTTTAAGCATCTGTGTATCTGGGGACTTCATATCCAGGGAGTGCCTTTGGTCTCGGCCTCCCTCTCTGTGTTCCCGGCGCCCCCTGCCCTCCCCAGCTTTCTCCGTCCTGTCCCTCGGTCCCTGCAGACCATGCTTTTCTCTCCCAACCTTCACCCTTTCAGCCTCTCCCACTGATCGCCCAGCAAGAACACCTGGCTGCTCACTAGGTAAGGTAGGTGGGCAGGGCTCAAAAATAAGGAGTGGAAAATATGGTGGCCCCAGCCTTCCTCTGAGTTCCAATCAGAGGTTTACTATATAGGTGACTGTAGACTAGAATGTTTGAAAAAATTTGAATCCTTAAATGAGGAGGGTGGTTGACAGGGCTTCAGTGGACTGGGGAAGGGGAGATTCCCTCCCACGGGGGTTAATACTCGCCCTGTTCCCGCTGAGACCAAGGCATGGAAGAGGGGGTGATACTTTAATCTACCAGGGGAGCCAGCGACCCAGTTGGCAGATGCTGTAGGCCCCTCTGCTTCTCCTTGCTACCTCTGGTCAGCATTTTACTGAGACGACAGGCAGCTGCCAGGAG